TCCGCTAAAGCACATTGCGATAAAGCTCACGATGCCGTCCACACATCCACTGTGCGGCTTCTTACCAGTAGTTTCGTATTACGGGTTTGCTATTCCCCCCGTCTTTGTGGAATTGTTTACCAACGACGATTTTCCCGGACAGATACGACTTAGGAACTTTCAATAAACAAGTTTGCTTCTTTTTAAAAGTCCGCCGGCACCTACAATGCCCCTGGTGTAGTAGTTGTTCATGGGAGGCGGTAGACCAACAGGTGAACTGCATGCTCGTTTACCCCTCTTCTCTTCTTGTTGCTGCGAGATGCTGCTATCTCCTCTTATGACCTCGACGTGACGATATAGGATAGTGGATATTAAACCGCCGCTGTACTGTGCCAACCGCCACTCACAGGGAAATTTTATATCATAGTTAATAGCTATTATAAGCAATTAACTATGATATAAAATATCCCGATTGCTATTCGATGATGATATATATGAGAGTAATCAGATATATCATCATCGAATAGCAATAAAAAGTTTTTCAATTTTGTATTTTTATGTTACGATTTATCTCTATTATGGTTTAGGTATTTTACATCTCGTAATAAATATAAAAGATTATGTCACGTTAATGTAGGTATTGTAAGTTGGGTGTGGCAGAAGTAGCATGGGAGTAGAAGAAACGCTGTAGAAATCACTCTGAATGAAAGAGTAAGAAATTGTGCGATACGAGAAATGTCTGGCTTGCAACAAAATGTTGTGACCAGGATTAAGATAAGAATGCTTCGGTGGTTGGATCTTGCAGAAAGAATAAATTAAGAAAGAGTGACAAAGTAAATTTATGTTGCAGAAGTGAGTGACAGAGTCGGTAAATTGGCGATTTATTAAAAGATGTGCAAAATAAGAGTATCATTAGTCAATGAGTATGTGTGCGATATGGATGTGAAGGAGGTGAGAGAGGTGTGTCAGGATCATAAGAAATGAAAATGCATCTCTAACTAATCCTATCTGGTTAACAGACGTAAGTGTTGATGTATGTATACCGCAATTTATCAGGTATAAAATCTTTTTTTACATTCACGGGATGAAATGTGGTGAAAGGTTTAGTTATGTCGCCGACACACGCATAATAATATGTCGCTTCTATTAATATGCAAATTTGTTTGCATATAAATAGTTATAAAATGAATATACTGTGGTAAGAATATACCATATTATTCCTCGGGTGTCTTAAGAGGTGACAGCAGAAACAAATGTTGAGATGGCCATTGGTGACCCAAAAAAACGACTAGAAGAACCTGTGGTTACCAACCCGCTTGTCAAAAGTGGAAACTATGGTAAAGGCCATGGCCCATGTTCAGCAGTAGACTTTAATAGCTTGTAACGGTATCTAAATATGTGGCATTTGAACAGTTTTTATGGTTAGAAGAGCTTATAATATTCTTTTTTTATTAAAAAATAACCTATAAAGTTATGCTTTATTGAGTAATTTTATATCCCTTTCATATTTAGTACAACGAGCGACATTTATTCATCAAGCACTGGTAAAACTTATGACTACAATAACTAATAACAATAACGTTTTATAGGCGGTATGCACACATTGGCATTGGAGGGAGTCGTATCGGCTGGGCGGCTCTTGGGCGGACATGGGCGATCGATAGTGTAGACACCGCCTTGTGGGAGGGAAACCTCCGCAGCGAAAATTATTCTAACGCTAAATACATTTAAACAGGCTATATTACATATTAAAATAGGCCTTTTTTAAATTATAAAACATGTTTTGTTTTAATTTTATAAGAAAGTTTAAGTGACAGAATATTTACGTGATAAGCCACGTTGTAGCTATATTATGGCTGCAGCACGCATGGGTCGGCTCGACCGGGGTAGGACTACGCTCTCACACAATACCAGCATAAAATAGCAACTCTTTGCTGCTCTGTTTCTTATGGTGAGTGTAGAGAACCGGAAACCCTTTTTACTAGAAACGAGGCATTTCATCTTAGTTCTCAAGGTTGGCAACGCACCCTGATTCTTAATTGAGGATAGATGTAGATGTCTATGGGCAAAAGTTTCCACCTACCTTCAGGTGGACTGTGCGCTCGTTTGTGACCTATACGACTTAAGAACCTTCAAGAAAATAGCCGAAGGTTCAACGCACCTGCAATTCGCCTAGTGTTACAAGTAAGCCTCATGCTCGTTTGTATTCTCATTAAAAAATTGCGTATGTGAGGTACGAAATAATCAGTCTGGCGACCATGGCCATTAAGATGTTCTCATCTGGCTGATGAAGAAGAGAGTAGAGGTAGATTAGAGTGTTTCTAAGGAGAAAGGTTAGATTTTACTTGAATTCGTAGTTTTGTGATGTCGAAACATAATTTTCTTTATAATTTTTATAATTAACATACTCGTACGTGGTGTAACATACGACCCACGCTGCAGCTATATTATGTTTGTAGTACGAATGAGTCGGCTCGACCGGGGAAGGACCACGCTCTCACAGAATACTAACGTAAAATAACAACTCAATGCCGCTGTGTTTCGTATGGTGAGTGTAAACAACCGGAGACTTTTTACTGGAAACGAGGCATTCCATCATAGTCCTCAAGCTTAGTCATCCATCCTCAATTAAGAATCAAAATGCAGGTACGAGTACAACGCATCTGCATTTTGATTCTTAATTGAGGATAGATGTAGATGTCTATGGACCACTTATTCAATAAAAAAGAAAACATAGGATAAGAAATATCTATACAGTATTTTCATTATAAAAGTGTATTCTTGTTTTTTAAAACGACGTACAAATGCATTAATAACTTTCTAAAGTATATAATAAGAAATTCAGACACATTTAGCAACTCATATACGCATTACTTTTTACACAGTAAATGATTTAATGAAATGATAACTACCTGAGAGTTTGCGTTAACCAAATTTGATACAAAAAAATAACGTTATCCTGTAGCAATATGTGCCTACAATTATGAAATAAAATAGAATTTATTTCATATAAATAAAATACGGTACTAAAAGTACACCCGTCAAATGAAGCGTAACGCAAACAAGTTAATAACGTAATATTGGACGTTTAGTCCCACGGTGGCGCTAAATTGAAACAAAAAAGTCATTGTAATTCGAGTAATGTTTGCATTTCCCATAATTTTTGGTAAATGCTGGATCAAGGGTGGCGAGGGGGAATTTTGTGGGTGAAAAAAGTTACCGTACAGGTTTTCACTTTCTATGTGAAATTAAAGTGTGTCATTTAAATCAGCAAATCAAATAGTATTATTATGGTTAAGATGTGTGACACAATCTATGTAAATCTAAAAAAGTTTTTATCGTGGATTTGTTTTTTGTGCCTTTTAATTTGAAATCGGAATTGAATTGGAATTTTTTTAAAGACAAAAACTGGTTCTTAGTATTTTGTGCTACGAATTATTTATTTAAATCACTAAATAAATAATTCGTAGCACAAAATTTCGTATATTTACTTACTCTATTTCATTAACCCAAACCTAGTAAATATAATTTTTAACTAAAATTAAAAATTATATTTACTAGGTGGCATTATTATTTTCAGTACCTTTCTCAGCCATCGTAGTTTGTAGAAACAAACTATGATTTACTTTTAAATTAACTCATATATATTCGCAATTATAGGTCATAGAAATATAATACAAAAACACGAAATTCTTCTCCAACCTTAAAAATTTGGATTATTCCGTTTATCTACTACTATAGGGTGAATTATTTAGGGTGGATAAACGGAATAACCCTAAGATTTGAGGCTTCAGTTTAATACTGTACCTCCAGGAAAAAAGTATATTGTTAGAGAATTGACATATATTTCCCTATATTGACTATATTATTAGGTGGTGCAGCATTATATTAAGTTTAATTAGACTCTAATTATTAGAGAGAAAATATATGAGACAATCGATTTGCATGTTTTGTAGAGTTGAAGAAATACTTTACTAGCCTTGATTTGTAGGGTATATTTTGCTGCTTCTGTCTGAAGTTTAAGGGAAATCTAGTGAAACGACCCCTTTATTACCAGCTAGTGATAATAGTTACCGTTACCGTTAAAGGTTAAACATCGATTGCTTAACAAAGACCTCCCCCATAGATTGCTTCATGGGGGTATATTTGCCATAGTTGCCACGCTTGGCAAGTGGGTTGACAACCGCAGTTTTTTACTATTAGTTGTTATTAGGAAGATGCTGCTGCCTATATCCTGATTTGTTTTCCTCATCTCGTCATAACTGAGTAGTACGTTTATTATTTACGCGTATAAATATTTTCGTGTGTTGAAAGCTATTGGGCAATTTATTTAAATGTGTCGAATAATATTTTCTATTGCTAATTTCAAAAGTGTTGTGTACTTTTACACAAGGGATAAAATTAAATGCTTCTTATGTCTCAATCTGCACTGAACTCATAACAAATGAACAGAAAGTATGAAATTCGTGAATGGTATTTCCTGCTCCCTGGCTCTATGTGGCTCTGATACCCCCTCATATTAGTGATTTTTTTTGTATTTTAGTAACTACTATTTATTTATTGTTGATACGTATGCTTCATCACTTGCCTAAGACCCTGTGTGGTTAATGCGCAAAGGCTGTGGCAGAATAGCAGGAGTAATGGGTTTCCCGTTACAACTGAGTGACAGGCCCTTTTGTCACAACTAATTATAAAGCTGTCTATTTAAATTTTTAACATTGTAAATTTTTTGTGGCAAATACATACTTTTTATTTATTTATTCTCATGCATATGAGAAACTATATTTAGATAATAAATGTAATATTTATTTCAGTACACGTTTCTATTTATTATATGTTCTAAAACGACTATTTATTTGTTAGCTTATTTAACTTTTAGACGATAAATTTTACTACTCGCATTACAACTTAGTACTATCACATTTAAAGGAATGTTATAAAGGTTTACGGCGAGTGCTCCCAAAGCGTGAGTTAGCATAACAGGGCACGTGACATTACGCTCTCCTGGCGGGTTCACATACCATTGGTTTAGTGTAAACTTTTTTAAAGTTATCTTCACCACACTTATAAAATGGTACTACGCAACTTCCGTCGTTCATGATTATTGTAAATATTTCCCGAATATTTTTGACGAATTTAATTTAATCTATTTACTAACAAACTTGCAGGCAGTCAAAGATTAATCTTTGCAAGCAGTACGTAAATTTTGACAATAACCCTCTTGTGAGCTAATTTAAATATTCAATATTTGTTACCATAATAAGAAAAAATTAAAACTTAAATCTTAAATTGGGAAGTAGAAAAAGAACCAGCTTATTAGAAAAAAATCAGCTTATCACCAGCAGCGATGACAAATCGCGGATACAGTTTCTTTAGGAACTTCATCGTACGTGGACCCCACGGACCTATAGTCTCTACATCAAACGGCTCAAACATGTCATTCAATTTACTTAAATTTACATAATAGCAAATTGATAAAATAGAGTGCGGATATTGTTTTTTGTACCTTTTAAATGGGCAATAGATTATAGTCTCAGATTAAGAAATCTGTTTTGCAATATCAAGTCCTGTAATAAAGCAGGAAACGAGAATTTCCGTCTCGATATAAGCGTAGAGGTAAAACATTTGGCGGCCATTACTGTTGGCGGAGCCGTCACACGTCTTCCTTCGTTACTCATTGCAAACTTTCAAGATAATCTTGGCGGTTTCGAAGTAAAACCAATTCAACTCATAGTCAGTAAGAACATTTAAGGGTAAGTGTGGTTAAATACTCTCTAAAATTTATATGGAGTCTATTGAACCTACGATTTTAAGACCTTTGCGTTTTGTTTTAATTGAAAAAGTGCAATCATAAATTGGCAATAAGCTATAGCTATAGATTTAGTGCACTTATTCTTTTCACGAACAATATTATATTGTACTGTATCATCCACTTCTACGAAAATACATCATTCCATTTTTCCCGCGACTTTGGAATATGTGAGAAAGATCTTAATACATCCAAAGGATGGTATTGTTACAACTCGTATATATGAGATGTAATAGCATTCCAATTCGACGACATGAGACAGAATTAAATTAATGTCAAATGGCGTCTGTGGTCATCAATTTGTGTGCGCAGCGTGGCGATGACTGCAAATCGTTTCATTAACAGAAGAGGTCCATATTCATTGTTATGGATTAGTGACTCAAGAGATGCCATATGTATACAAAAATTTCAGTTAATAGGAAACGTCTTCGCCGATCCACTATCAATTGCTTTTAATTTATCACTAGGAGTTAGAAAACATGCAACTCAAATGAATATTTCTTAATTAGTAAACCGTGTCAGGTTGTTACTCGCAGGATGTAAAATTGGTCAAGAGATTTTCGTCAATATTTGAAGACACGAAATATAGGTACTCTTATAGCTGTATACAACAATTATTAATCTTTATTCAATAATTGACTCTTTATAGAGCACAAATGAAAAAAAACAGATGCCGAAAATAGAATCTCTTTATTTTTGAACTCCGTTAAAAAAGTGAGTGGAGGATTTTTACGAAACGATTTTATTAAATAGTATGTAACATGACAATGACGATTTATTATTTAATGTCATCATATAACAAATCATAAAAATCACAGCTCAAATATTCACGGTTCATCCCCTGGTGCCGGTCGGAGGGATGCAATGTGTATGCCTTTAATAATAAAAACATATTAGCCGCATTGCATGCCCGTCTTTCCGTGACTGGGCAGTTTTACACCTGGCCGAGTGGAGAGGGAAGGAGGGTGCTGAGGGGTTTGATGGGTTTAACAGGGCAAAGAGAGGGCAATGGGGAGGTAAAAGCACCGTTTGTCAGCGGTCAGCTATTAATGAATGCGCCCATAATGTTTATTGTACCCGCTGAGCATTTTTCGGGCAATGTCTGTAACTCATCATTTTATAAATTAACTGTCACCGTTAGTCGCTATTCGTGGCCGGCAAGCTATCGGTAAACGTTCATTAGTTAGTGTCGAGTTCGGTTATAATGTTCCGATTTCGATTTTCGATTATTAAAGGGCATTAGGTTTTGTACTGTGCTGTTGTTGGAGCTATTTATCAATATGAATTAAGAAAACGTCTATTGGCTTTGCGAGAAATGATTTAATAAATGTTTCATTAGTTGCGTGCCACTAACTATTTATGTAATTTTATTAAAATATACAAATGTCTAAATGATGTTAGCCTATTGATTGTGATTTTGAAATTCTAAAAATCTTGTAGAATGTTTTGATTAATCATGAATTGTTTGTTGTTTATTGCATTGTCTTTCTTTATTTCTATTACAATTTTTATAGCTTCCACTAAAATTTGATGATGGTGTCACTCATTTTTATACTTATTATTTTGAACTCCTCGATAGGTATTTGTATTATTAAAAAAGTTTGAAATCCGATATAGCATGGTATCTATCATTTAGCGCGACTGCTGATCATATAGCCCCGGTTTCGAATCCCGAGTCGGGCTAAACTTAGCTATTGAGTTTACGGTTAAGAAATTATGTTCTGAAGTAACCCAGAGTTAGGGAGTTGGTGGTGTCTCACCCCCGTGTCCCCTAAAAGTACGTAATGATGGTGGTCCTGCGCTTGCCTATTAAGACCATTTCGCCGTTGAGATTTGCCGCCGTGGCTATATTTGGTCTGGAGAACATTTTTTTAAGAAAATTCAATAGCTTCTTCTACTACATCACGTCAATACTTTTCATCTTTATTCAAGGAGCATATCCCAAATCAAATCCCGAACGTGGGCTTCTCCTACATATTACCACAAAGTACAGACGCCTGTATCTATAGATTCGCAGAATGTTTTATTAGGGGCGTCATTTCATTTAGTCATTTAGTCAAAGTACTATATTATACCTTTATTCTATGGTATTAATATTATAATAATAATTGCATCAGCAATTTTGCTTTATGGAGACGGCATGAGTGAATTCTGCCTCATATAATTTTGGTTTATCAGGTATACCTCGACGATATTCCGATTATCCTGATTGTTTTACTTCATGAAATATTATTTCCTCATTTGGTTTCTATATTTCTTTATTATCAATAATAATAATTATTATTTGAGAATCTATAATTAATCAACGTATAAGTTTATTTTCTTTAAATATATCTTCTTCAATTGAATGATTAAAAATTTACCTCCTTCAGAACATTCTTATAATGAATTACCTATTTTAAGAAACTTCTAATATGGCAGATAATATGTAATGGATATGATGGATAATATGTAATGCAAAGAATATCCTTTTTTTTAGAAATGCCAGGTAGGTAATGCGTTGTATTGCATGGGTGCTGTAAGAAGCAACGATGAGATATGATATTATCTATCATATCTCAAAGTACCGTTGATTACTATAAATGGTGGTTATAACCGTCTTGTGTGCACCACACATAAATAGCCAAACCGGCAGCGGGCAGCGTCGTCAAAGATTTAAGACGTTTGGTATTGCGCTCGTCAAATCGCCAGCCTAGCGTGAGGGTTAAGGCAAAACCTGCCACTTACAATAGGTGATCTAAGTCATTGGACTTCTTCTTTAGTAAACGTCTACTATTGAGTGGATGTTTACTGAAGAAGAAGATTGGCAATTTTAGCGTAGATTGATTAGTATTGAGGGGTTAGGTGACATGCTGATCAAATAAATTGTGTAAGTCAGTTTTTTTTTGACATTCATCAAGACATAATTGGATATATATCTATTTCATAAAACTGCTTGCTTTGTGTAGTAAGCAAAGATAAGTCTTCTAAGAAATACATGCCATACCATACGGGGATATAATCACAAATACGAAAACCAACAGTTTGTGTTATTTTTAATCTTGGCTTCAACCAGGTTTTGAATCACGGCGGTGATGTTGTGGGTAGGAAATCTAAACGGATAAACAAAAAAAAATCATAAAGTATTATATATTTTACAAGCTGTTTCCCGCGAATTATTCCGCGCGTAATGTAGGCTTTTAATATTTTTGCAAGGAACCCTTATTTTCATCTGTCTGTCTGTTCCAGCTAATCTCCGAAATGGCTGGCTAATCTCCGAAAAGCTGGCATATGTCTGATATCATAAAAAGTAACTTAGATTACTTTTATTTTAGAAAAAGAATCAGGGTTTCACGCAAAAACATTAAACCCCATGAAATCGTACGAAGTCGCGTTGAACAGCTAGTATACAAATAATACTTGACTATAAACGCAAGAAAGTCATTACACTATAATCTTTTAAAACTTCTATGGAAATTATTATATTATTAAAGCACATGATGTATATTATTTAGTCTTTAGTCTAAGGTTAAATCTATATGGTAAAAGTTAGTTTTGATAGTTCTCTATAACTACGCGGTAGAAAATTTACGTGGTAGAGCCGTGCTGCAGTTATATTATGGTTGAAATAAGGAATGGTTTGGCTCGTTCGAGGAAGGACCACGCTCTCACATAATACCAACCTAATGCTGCTCTGCTTTGTACGGTGAATGCAGAGAACCGAACCTCATAACTTTAAACGAGGCATTCCATTTTATTCCTCAGGGGTGGCTACGTATTTGATTATAAATCGAGGATGGATGGAGATGTGTATGTTCTATAGGATTCACTTACCATCAAGTGCTTTTGTCACCCTTACAAAAAAATCAATTAACGTTTTCTAATACCCATTTGCAATACCTGAGGTTTCGCACAGTTGATACAGTTTTCTATCGTTAGTTTATTATTAATACAAGATGTTTAACAACGCCATTTATCAGAGCTCAAAGATCTTGCCATGTACCGTCGCAATATGCAAGAAGTAATAAAAAACTTCGGAAGCTTTTTAAAATAAGTGATCACAGTGATCAGATGTCACATAGGTCGGGGTTATCACGTGCCACCGTTTACATATTTGACTCGGTTTTATTAGAGTAATGAAATTATTTCGAAAAACCGGGGGTTGATCGCGTGTCGGCCACGCGCCGCGACTTGCCCCCGCTCGTTCGATGCCCATTACCTCATTAGATGCTCCCGATGATACTAACCTTGGTGGGGGGTAAGTTTAACTTTTTAATTTGATGACGCGTTGCGGTGTAATGCGTTGTATTG